AAAAACAACAACGAATATATCTCTTTATTACTCTTACACCGATGACGCAAGTGAAGTGCGAGTACGCGAAAGAAATGCATACGCTCGGCTTCGGTCGGAATGCTTCGTTCCTCCTCTCGTTTCGATGCGTAGATTGCTGGCGGGTGCACCAATCCTTCTCCCCGACATAAAGGCTGAATGGATACTGATGGTATGCAAATTTTGTTCAAGAAGATATTTGGATGCCGACCAGGAGCTCTGCTTAAGAAACCGACCCTGCTTGTCTTCGATTCCTTCAGGGGACAATTGACTGAGGATGATAAGAAGATTGCCGAGACTATGAAAACCCAACTTGCGGTTATTCCAGGTGGCCTGACTTGTCAGCTTCAGCCCCTTGATGTTTCCATTAATAAGGCTTTTAAGGTGGCACTACGAGAAGAATGGAACCACTACATGATGATGACAGCAGGAGACAATCTTACCAAAACTGGTCGACTGAAGAAGCCATCAATTGGGAGAAGTTTCTGGGTGGGGTAAAGAATGCTTGGGACAGTGTGAAGATCGAGATCATTGTCAAAGCCTTTAAAAATGTGGAATTTCTTGATGGTTCAGAAGATCATTTGATATATGAAGATGGCGATGAAGATGATACAGACGAGGAAGAACTGCTAGCTAAATTCGATGCCAGTGATATTGAAGAAGACGAGGAATGTGAGGGGGTTGTCACTATACCTGATGCACCAGACAGTGATGATGAGTGTATGAGCAATTATTATGAGTCTTGAATTTTGTTTGTTTGTAATTTTTCTTTCTTTGTAACTTGTATCACTAATAAAATATTTTTTCAAAACTTCACAGTCAAAAGATTGGGGGGTGGCCTATACAAAGAGGGTGCTTATACATGGGGAAATACGGTATATATAAAGTGTATTCACCCTATGTCGTAGCTAAAGTTTCCTACAATGATATATGTAGACCTTACATCTCCATTAACTTTCACATAGCCCTGTTTTCCCAAAATGTGTTCTTCTCCAGGAGAGACTGCAGTGTCGACCTCACTTATGTCTTATTAACACCCACAGCGGAACTTGAACAATGACAGTACAGCGTATAATCTTGAAACGCTAACCACTACGCCACATCGCAACAAGTGCCATTGAGTGACAGGACAGATGTCAAGTTTAAGTAAAGCCAAACATTTTCCCATATCACATTCTGTGGTGGGATTGTCGATGAGGAAGAGTTGTATTTGCTATATAAATCGACTATTTTACTGAGGTATGGTTTATAAGTAGGCTTTTCGAGACTACCAATAAATCATTCATACTTGAAATGCATTCAACTTAGTTCGTTTAAGGTGAGAAGGAGACTAGTAATTGAAATTCGCATCTGCCGTGTGATCCAAGGACACTCGTGGCAATTTGGCGTAGTGGGTAATATGTCAGGATTATGCGCTGCACTCTCATGGTTCGAGTTCTCGCGGGGGCTGTTGATAAGACCTAGGCGAGGTCTAAAATGCAGTCCACACTTGGAAAGCAAAGCTATGCGAAATTCAATAAAAACATCAGCTCTATTCTTATCATTGTAGAAAAAAATTCAACTAAAAGTCACCTTATCACGTTAAACGAGGTAGAGTGAATAAACTTCATATATAAGGGATCTACTGGTAGTCTCGAAAAACTTACTTATGGACTGAACATTTGAGGATAACTTCCCAAGACTGGTACCAAAAATATTGCTAAACATTTGCAATACCCTTAGAGAGGAATGCTCTCAATATTGTAAGTTTCCATACAGCATTCCTTTAGGCTTCAGAAACTCTAAGTCTACTATCTAAATGATTATTTAAGCCGTCGCTAAAGGCTTTTGCTTCGAAGCTGTGGGAAGACTAGTTGATGTCGTGGTGCACCAGCTCCCTATAGGAATGATAGCGTGTCAAATTAGGAATAATGAAACCAAAGCAGATAGGGAGTCTGAAACTAGCAGATATACATAACTGGGATCAGGAAATCTGTAGATTGGATGATTATCCAATAAGATTAAGTGATAACTACTTTTTCGGATATGGGAAAATAAATCAGTAAATAAAATATACTTACGAAAATCAATCCGTTTTGAGTGATTTATACTTAACCTGAGGGCGATTTTGTTTATGATTAAGTAAAGGCATTCTTTTCTTGTATAATATCACTTAACAATGCATTGTAAACGATCATCCTCACTCAGATTTGACTGTAGCCCTGATCCGGCATGAACGTATCGTCCGCACACCTAATACCATTTGAAAAGTAAACAAACGAGCCTGAAGGCAAGTACGTAGCCTAGTAAGTCCAATCAAAGTTAATAAAAAAGGTTATAAAACTCGAAAAAATATGCTGCTAATAGTTGCAGAATAAAACCGTTACTAATAATTGAATAAGCATTTTGCATTTATATTGAAGCCAGAGTGAGAAGAGTGAATATCTATAGATGGGTTATTTACAAGGAAGAACATTTTGCTCGAACCGATAGTTAACCGACGGGGAGTAATTGAAGAAAAAGCCTGAACTGTTTTCATCCGGAATAAAGAATTATAGTTAATCTTAATAGTGAATCCTATCTTTGTATCAATTAGGAAGTTTGGCAACAAATCTATGTTAGACTGGGCGACAAAATAGTAAATTTAGGCTTAAAAATAACATCATCGATAGTTTCTAGACCCAATCATGAGTATCTTTTAACTGACTCTCTCATACAAAAGAGTTCTAATCGTAAAGTGAAAGTAGTTTCAACTTGAAGTCATAATATTTATTGATGAAATGAAAGTTTATCTCAGGCATAGTGACTAGAAGGAGTGGTTGGCTAGGAAAAAATGGGCATTTTACAGAGAAAATGATATGAAATTACATAAGATCAATAAGAATATAATGAAAGAATTAAGGCAGAATAAACGAAATAATGGTAAGAAGTTACTTTTCTTGAGACAGCAATATGTCTGAGAATTATATTCTTAGTATGCTGGCTGATAACCGGCCTGGGGGATGCTGATGAGTCATATGGAGCGAAAACCAGAGGTCAACCAAAATGTAAGTTACTCATCTGGCTGATTGCGACTAAGTTCAGTTGCAGAATAATAACATTTATTTTAAAGTAATAAAATCTCGTGTTTTTTATTAAGGCCATTATATAATCACAAAATGACCTTTGAAAAACGAAAAGTGAATCATGGCTGGCTTTATATAATACTAAATAAGCGCTTTATTCAAATAAAGAGGGGATAATACGTGCCCTAATGTTTGAGTATGCAAACAAATAAGGTCGCTAATGGGCTGTGAACTAGTTAAATAAATAAAATCTGTTGGTCGAAATATTTCAGTTTTGAGTAATTTCTTGAGAGACTGAGAGTAATTCTGTCTATAAGAAATAAAGGGCATTATTTTTACATTTAATTTCACTTAACTATGTATTCCAAGATTTCGTCCTCATTCAAATTTGATTGCAGTCTAGATTCAGTCTGGAAGTATAGTTAGCATTCACAGGAGTATTAAAAAGCGAATGAGCCAGCTGAAAGGTGAACCAGTTACCTATGAAGTTCACTAAAATATAAGTTATACGAAGTCTCATAAGTATAGCTTAATCGTATGTTTCAACCTATTCATTACACTACTATTCTTTGCACAGCTATTTCGGCTCCCAGATGTCAAAGTCATTAATACTATAGATACGAAGAGAAACTTGGTTTCGATGAAATTCCTGAGATAATATTGTTAGGGGGACCTTCATTTCGGATGAAAGTGCATGAAGAAGAGATTCCTTGGTAGATCTCACCAGATGAGGACGGATGAACCTCGTTGTACTGCAGCCGTATGGTTTTTATAAGATATTCATGTTGACGCAGTCCACGAGACTTCCTCCCTG